ATTTCATAGAATAGCAAATGTATTTTCAATTTAGAGAGACAAGGAGTTTAAAAGTAAGAGGTAAATTGTTTCTTTGAAATCTCATGTAGGAGTTTTTTCAATCAACTCAGTTCATGAACATTCTTTTTTTGTGGAAACAAGAGACATGCATACAACACCAGTTCATTTTCTCTGCGATTGTAATCAAAGAGAGAGCCCAGGAAATCCTAAAGCCTATTTAGTAAGTAATCAAGGAATTTAATTTTGTACCCTTCATATTTCTTATGCCAAAGCACTCAATATGCATGTTTAACTGCCTTTTACCTAATGCAATCCATTTTTTTTGCCTCGCCTGTTAACCTAAGCCTTTCCCCGCTTTCGTTTTCGTCGTCACTTTTTTCTGGAAACAACAACAACCCAGAAGTCTTCGAATCCATGTTCTTTGTTAAGTTATTGCAACATATTGTATCCAACATCGGTTTATTCATCTAATTTATTTTAAAAAAATCAAGAAGCAAAATTATACGAAAATAGTGTGTAAAAATGTGAGTGCATCCACACCAGAGCCTTTCCTCTCGCAGCCCACGTACATGTCCACTCATATCAGTCGCCCTATCATGTCTGGTCCACCAACTTGTCTCGAATATGGAATTCCCTATCACCTACACACCATACCTCAGCGGGGTGTCATGTCGATGTTCCCTGGTACCCAAGACCCCCGGTACCGATATTATCCGGTACCTAAGACAACCGTTAGAGACATTCCCCGGTATTCTGAAGGTGCCAATGCTTCCCCGTACCTATGTTCCCCGGTATCCATGTTCCAGAGCAGCTATGTTCCCTAGTACTTATGTTCTGCAGATACAACTTGATGCTTACATAGTGTTTGGATTTGTGAGCATGTTCGTATGTTTTAAGATTAGGTCAATATGCGCTGATATGTGGAAATTAGTATGAAATATGTCGTACGGATATATGTAGCTAAGGTTGGATATATTGACTATCGTAGATTTGTGGATTTATGTATATGATGTTGTCCATTGAGATTTATATACTTTAAAAACATCTTTACTAAGTGCAGTAGGTCAAGGAATGTTGCGTAATGTCTCTGTCTGTCTGTCTGTCTGTCTGTCTGTCTCTCTCTCTCTCTCTCTCTCTCTCTCTCTCTCTCTCTCTCTCTCTCTCTCTCTCTCTCTCTCTCTCTCTCTCTCTCTCTCTCTCTCCTCTCTCTTCTCTCTCTCTCTTCTCTCTCTCTCTCTCTCTCTCTCTCTCTCTCTCTCTCTCTCTCTTCTCTCTCTCTCTCTTCTCTCCTCTCTCTCTCTCTCTCTCTCTCTCTGGTAGTAGTAGCTGTAGTAGCTGTAGTAGTAGGGGAAGAGGGAAAGGAGGAGGAAAGTGAGAAGAAAAAGAAGAAAGGAGGGGAGGAAGAGGAGGAGAAGAAGGAGAAGAGAAGAGAAGAAGAAGAGGAAGAAGAGGAGAGGAGGAGGAAGAGGAGGAGAAGGAGAAGGAGAAAAAGAAGGAAGGAGGAAAAGGAGGAGGAAGGGGAGAAGCAGGACAGATAATAGACAAACCGAGAGCGAAAGCGAGAGAGAGAGAGAGAGAGAGAGAGAGAGAGAGAGAGAGAGAGAGAGAGAGAGAGAGAGAGAGAGAGAGAGAGAGAGAGAGAGAGGAGAGAGAGGAGGAAAGAGAAGAAAGAGAGAGAGAAAGAGAAGGAAGAGAAAGAGAGAGAAAAAGTAAGAGTAATAATGACAATAACATAATCTCCCTCTCTCTAAATATACGTAACATATCCCTTAGCTTCACGACTGGTTCAGAAATTACCAAAATATTGCATTGTATCATATTCACTGATGCCAAGTTATTGTTGCCACATACCGTGCAAATGATACATACAAACAATATGCAGTTATTGATATAACCGATTCAGGAGAACAGTCTGTGAAATAGATTTATGCAGAAATGAATATTCAAGCCGGGGGGGAACGTCCAGAAATAAATGAGGATGAAGAGAATTGATAAATGTTAATTGTAATGTAATGTAATTGATATTTCTGTGAGATGTCAATAAATAAAAAGATTATTATCATTTACATTATCAGTGTCATTATTGTTGTGTTGTCATTATCTATATTATTAGTAGTAATAATTATGGTGATACTGATAAGGATGATACTAAGAGTAATAGTTATAATGATAGTGATAAGAGTAATAATGATAACGATGATAATAAAAATGGCGATAAGGATTATGATAAGAATAAAAGTAATGAATGATAATGATAATGACAATACTAAAATAATAATAACATCAACAATAATAATAGTAATGATAATAATGATAATAATAATATTGATGATAACGATAAAGATAATGATAATGGTATTGATGATGATAATATTGATAATGATGATAATGGTAATGATAATAATATAATAACGATAACAATGATGATAGTGATATGAATAATAATGATAATAAAAAGATAGTAATTATAATGATAATGAAAAGGATAATGATGATAATG